CAGTAGGAGAACTTTCCTAACATGCACAAAGCCTTGGGTTTAATTTCCAGAGCTGTGGGGGGGGGGGCGGTGGGGAAAGCCAGGTAGAGGCACACAGCTGTAACCCAGTACTCTTGAAGACTGAAGCAGGAGAATCACAAGTTCTAGTCCAGCCTGCCTGGGTAACTTAGCAAAGCCTTGTCTCAAAATAAAAATTAAAAAGGAGCTGAGGATATAACTCAGTATAAGGTCCTCGGTTCAATTAAAAAAAAAAAACAAAAACAACATAAAGGCATTGGATTAGAGATCAAGCCTTGAGTAGAGATTGGAAAGATAGGTGATTAGTGAATCCTTTAAAAAAATTAATTTGGATTTCAAATTTTTTGTTTTGAAACAATTTTAGGTTGACAGAAAAGTTGCAAAAATAGTAGAGTTCATATGTTTACTCTTCAATCAGCAGCCTTATGATTGATATTAATAATTTCATTTGATCAAAACCAAGAAATTAACATAATGTATAGATTAGGATTGGCAGTTATTTTCTTCTTCCGTTCCAGAATTCAATGTAGGAGTCTACATCCCCTTTCAGTTATTCTGTCTCCACAATCTGTTTTGTTTTTTGATTTTGGTACCGGGGATTGAACTCAGGACCCTCATGCTTGTGAAGCAGGCGGTGGAACCACTGAGCTAAATCCCTGGCCTGTCTCTACAATCTGGGGAGCTATAAGAGTGCTTCATGGATGCTATAAGAGTACTGAGGAAACTGCTATTGGAGGTTGGAGAAATAGTGTTAAGGAGGGCAAAAAGTTGGGTCACACCTGTGTGCAGGAAAGCACAGACAACAGAAAATGTACCTCATTAGTCTATAAATCTGGCAAAGAAGATGTTCAGGTTGACTGTCGAAAGTGTTGGCTAGCTTCTTTTAGTGCTATACAATGGTACACAAGCAAAATATAATGGTATCACCAGAGAGACTTGTGATTAAAAAAAAAGAGAGATTCGGTTTTTCAAGCAGAACATAGAGAACAGAATGTAAACAAAGACTAGGAGGGTCTCATTAGCCAACAAATCTGTCAGAAATAGCTTCAGGGTCTGGCTCTATTATGTGGCCTCAAGGTAAAGATCCAGACTCTGATAAGATGCTGGCCTTCATCTAGACAAAAGGATTTCCAGGAATCTTAAGGGCTGTCATGCAGCAGTCACTTAAACAAGTCCAGAGTAGAGATAGGAGTTTTTGGTTTTGGTTTTTTGAGACGGGATCTTGCTCTGGGGTTCAGGCTGATCTTGAACTCACTATGTAGCCCAGGTCAGCCTTGAACTCAAAGCAGTCCTTCCTGCCTCAGCTTCCTGAGTTCTGGGACTACAGGTGCACACCACCACACCTGGCTGAGAGGTTTGCTTTTGAAAGAATTATATTGTTTTGTGGACAAGAAGTGAAGCAAGTGACTGGTCTGCTCCTGATTCCCTTAGAATCACCCAGCCCAAACTTTATTTCTCAGAAAGTGATGTTTTCCTGAAGCATAACTCTCTACTGAGATGGGAAAAGCTACAGAGTCATCTGAAATAACTTCTGGAAAGATTTAGCACATGGAAAGCTCATACATTTTCTTTTAGAATATTGTTATTTGTATTGACCCATGCAATGTCTTGGGAAAACTATTCATATTTAAAAGAACAATATTTATTACTAGGATGAATGAAATAAGGAGAAAGCCTTCAGAACCCTGGAAAAATACAGCAGTTTAAATTAAAACCAATTGTATTTTTGTATGTTCTTATTATTTAGAAAATACTAGATAAACAGATAAAAATAGAGAAGATTGCTTAAAAATTAAAGCTATTGATTTAGGTCTCCTTGAAAGGTCAGTGTGTGGGAGATGAAAAAAGCACATAGCGACAGAATAACCACACAAAAGTCATTTTAGCAGCGAACCTACAAAGGGCACATCAACTATTTATATCACCCACATCAAGTTGCTGGTCATTTCACTTATCAAAGAAATGAGGAAAGAAATTTTCTCTAGACATTCTTTGGGTATAGTAGCAATATGGTTTTGAAATCAGTCATGAGAAATTATAATTAAAGCTGGTTTATCATGCTCTACTTATTTTATGCAGTCTCCTCGAAGCTTTATATAACTCTCCCTTTGTTACAAGCTTCTGTTTCTCCCTAGGGCTGGCTGAATCCAGACAGGTAATGAAACAGAGTGCCTGGAAACCAGTGTATTGTAATATCTGTACAGCCAATAATATATTTGAACTTAAAATAAATTATTTAAAAAATATCCTGTACATAGGGCCAGGTCCTTTATAGGTTTCAGCTTTATCACATGGGTAAGGACATCCTTTGAGCAAAAAAGTAAAAAAAAAAAACAAAAAACACCAAAAAGGCATCAGGAACACAACACTGTGAGAAAGGGAGCAGATTTTTGGTTCAGCAACTCCCAACATCCACCTGAGGTTGCTGCCAGCCTGGTCAGATATATACCAACGTAGGTGATCCTTTCATTCACCACTAGAGAGAAGTAGAGGGACCTGATGTTAAGAAGCAGCAAAACCCATTTCCAATTTTCTTCCTATTCTCTATTCCGGTGCTTGAGAGCAGTGATGCACATCCTCTCTGCTCCAGAATAACTGTGCCATGGGAATCGAAGAGGATCCTCTCTCTTCAGGGTAAAAGCTAGCAAGACAGGAATGCACCTCGTTTCATTTTCTTCCAGGGAAGCAGATTCAGAGCCGCTCAGATGCTGTGAGAGTGATTGTCTCACAGGGTAGGCTCCCAGGGAGGGGCAGAATAGGGCGGAACTAGTAAGTAACGAGGACTCTGGGGACAGACAAATCAGCAACCTGAGAAAAACAAATATGGGACATTTTGCCCTCCCCAATCTACTTCCCTTGACCTAACTTTATCTTCATTTCCCCTTTCCCCATCCAGCAGTAGCAGATAACAGCATAGCACAGGTTTTTGCCATGTAGTAGAACACCTAGACATGGAGACTCCTTATCCTTAGTAATTTTTAAAATAAAAAAGAATTTCTAACTCACACTAGGCTGTGTGGGCAGGATTTGCATATTTAGAAGTCAAATGGAGGCCTTTCTTCTGCCGTTTCCAGCATGCTCTCCATTTTCTTTTGTACTTAAGGTCCCTGCCTCCTTCAAGGGGACCAGAACCATGCACAAAATCATCCTCCAATAAATATCAACACTGAAGCTTCAGCAGGTTGCTAACTCCTGCTGAACTATCTTAAAAGGATGCTGTATATAAATGCTAGGTTTAAGTAGCCTCAGAGATCTCTAAGAACACTGTAAATATCCCTGGTCTAATTAGTAGTCCTGGAGTTAGGTAATGGCTTGTGGCTTTCTGAGCTAGGCCGCTTGAGGTTTCTAGTCTTCGGAGACTGCCTGCAACTATGATATACACACACGCGATCTTCTTTCTCATACATTTCATAAATCCTCTTTAGACCTTCCTGGGAACCTACTTACAATCATTACAACACACGTGCTAATCCATTCCTATTTCCACAAATTTCTAAAATGACCCACTGCCTAAGTCTCAAGGCAGATACTCATGGATTAAAATTGAGTTCAAGTACCCCAGGGAAAGAATTAAAATGGAAGAAATTCCTAGATCGGTGTTGAGTGATGTCAATTCTCTCCAGGCAGAGAAGGTGGATACTTGCTTCGTACCTGGCTGATGGGGGAGGGGAGATGGGTTCCAGTTTTCAGCATTTCTGAACTAGCTCTTTCGGTGATAGGTCAGCCAATCTGGGTTGTAAGCAGACTTGACAGGTTTGTTCCGGGCTGATGGCCTTTGACTAGGTTCTCCGACCAGAAAAGCCACTTGGCTGACTTTACAGTAGGTGGGGCACGCTCACCAGTTCAGGGGTAGTGACAGGAGGTTCGCTGCAACTCACCAAACCCAAGCAGCGGGCCGCAGAGATATATCTTTTTGCTCCAGGAGCACAGAACCAGAAGGGTTCTCCTTTATCATCTAGGAGATGCATCGGATCCCCCGAGGGCCCAGCCCCTTCTCCCGAGGTTGGGAACGCGCCGTGTTGGCGGATCAAGGAGGAGGAGTTTCAGGTATCGGTCCTTGGAATTGCTCTGTGGATGACAAACGAGGGGTAGTGACAGCTTGGTGACTCTCCCCTCGCGGACTGCGAGGATAGGCGGTATCCAGCGGAACAGGGAGGCGGGGGCACGTGCTTGGATGTGGTGCTTGTGTAACCAGCTTCCCAGCGCTAGCCAGACAGCGCTCCCGCGGGAAGCTCGTCTGTGTGCCCTTTCCCGCTGCGTCCCACTGGGGTCCCACCGCCTTTACCGGGAGGGAGTATCCTAAGCAGAGAAAGCGGACACTTGCCCCTGCAGCGACCGCAGGGTAGTGGGAATTTGGAAAGTTCCCCAACTAGGCGCACACGTGACCTCCTCCTGAAAGTAGTTCCGACGGTGGCTCTCGTATCCTTCCACCTCCTT